TTCGGTTTTGGGAAGATTGAGGTTCTGCATTCAACGGGGCTAAGATCTCAAGGGTTTAGAGTTTAGGGAATCGGGCAGCCAAGACCCAGCACCATAAACCCATGGCCCGGAATTGAAGTTCGCCAGCTTCGGGTTGATACATACTAACTCATAGCAACAGCGGTGCAGAGCCAACGGTTCCTGCAGGTCTCGATACGAAACTCCAAGCCCCAAGCCCGAAAGCCTTCAGCCTTGGTGTTCTTCGCTGTGATTGTGGGCATGATCGGTTGCACCACTATGATGATGTCGGCTTTGGAAGGATGTAGGCACAGGCCTCCAGTGATTCGGGATAAGGATCGAGGGATTGAGGCTTTGACGGCCTGAGGGTTCCGAGCTTCAAGTTTTTTGAGTAGCTTCCTCGGACGACAATGCCTGACCTTAGTATCGAACGCCTGTCCGCATATGCTGACCCTGCCCAGACTCCGGTCGAGGTATCCCAAATCCGAGTCGCTACGGCTTGAAGTTCGGCCAGCGGCCCAGATGGCAGGGGTTTAGGGGTGCTTCGGAGGTTACGATGGTACCCTAAACATAAGCGTTGCAACCTTCACAAAAGAAACTTTGCTGAACTTCCAAGGAACCCTACACCCTTAAAGCCTTAATCCTAAACCCCCAAGCCTGCACAGGCTCAATTGAACCTGTCTCTCTCCGCGCCACAGGACGTGGCCAGGCTTAGACTGTCGGCCAGTGTGAAATCCGCCACCTCCATTGGAGCACTGGGGCACCCGAAAACTACCTCAGGATGGGGTTGTGGAGATGCCAGAGGAGACTGCGAATGAAGCAGGGACCACAGCCCTGGACAGCACCAAGGAGGGAGACGAGGCCTCCAGCAGGCCGGCGGTGCTGGCAACGGTGCTGCACAAGTTAGCCACGGACATGTATGAGGACTTCCTGCTGCGGCTGGGGCTACCAGTTGAGTGTGACCGAGCTGGGCGGATGACATTGACCCTCATCACAAAGATGTCATGGTGCGGCTGGAAACTGAGCTTTGGATGGAGTTCATTGATGTGTTGGAGGGCCAGAGTGGTTGGGAAACGGCCCACCTTCAAGAGTGCAGAGAGACAAGATCGTGCACCCGGTCGCCGAGAAGGGACACTGATGTGACAAGCGTTATGGACCGGGGCGAAAGGACCAGACCACGCGCGAACAACGGCGAGAAAGAGGTACGGGGCAAGGCGCTGGAGGACGAGGCCACGAAAGAGCAGCAAACAGTAGGGGCCGCGTGGGCACTCTGTCCACCTCGGGCTGGACGTGGAAGAGGTGCTGGGGCCAAGGTTGGGGACGATGTGCATGCTTTATGGCGGGAGGGCTCTTGGATGACAGCTTTGTGGAGCGAAAGGTCGGATCGGAGATGCTGGAGCTTTTCCGCATGCACTGGGACGTGGACTTGGCATGGCAGCATGAGAGGGCTCGTCACCTGATGATGTCCGAATCCATGACGGAAGCAAAGGGTGCGAGGGTCTGCCCGAATCTTGCAGGGTTCACAGCTGAGTCCACAGAGTCCACCACCAAACGGTGTCCGAGTCCGTGAAGGAAGAACAGGGTGCGAGGGTTTACCTGAGTCCACGTGATGCTCGGATCCCTGGGAACGTGTCGGATCAGGGTCCACCACCGAACGATGTCCGAGTCCGTGCAGGAAGAACAGGGTGCGAGGGTCGACCTGATTCTTTGCAGGGTCCACAACTGAGTCCATGTGATGTTTGTATCACTGGGAACGTGGCGGATGTTGAGGGTGACTGTCCTTTGTCCCAACGACTTCGAAGCGATCTACATAAGCTCAAGGCTACTGGGTGTGTCAGTGTAGCCATCTCCGCCTTCCTGCAAAAGCTCCCTAGCGCGCAGGAGCTGTGCTGTTGGAAGAGAGGCGCTCAAAACAAACCCAAGCCTCAACTCTTCACCTTAAACTCCCGAAACCCCTAACCCCTAAACCCCGAACCCTAAACCCTCAATTCTCAACTCTAAACTCCTAAACCCCACGCCCCAAGCACAAGCCTTAAGCCCTTCAAGGATCCTTACGCCAGTTCCTTTAAAGGCAGCCAAAGCTTGAGGTACAGACCGAGAGATGACGCTCGCCTACGTGGATGTCTTAGACTACTCCAAGACCCTCGAGGACTCCTCTAGGGTTCCTTTGAAGGTTCATTTGAGCATTCCAGAAAGGGTTGTTTTAGGGTTCCTTTGGGTTTCGTTAAAGGTTCCTGAAGGCTTCTTCAAGGTTCAAGGGTAAGGGTTCCAGTAAGGGTGCCTTTAAGAATTCCTTGAGGAGTTCCTTCGAGGAGTGTCTGTAAGGGTTCCTTTCAGAGTTCCTACATGGGGAACTCCAGGACCATTCAGGGTTGAGGTATTCGGATGCAGGGTCAAGGGTACTTCGAAGGATACGCTTCAGTGCTTCTATGCAGGGGTTTAGGGCAGAGTTTGGGTTTAGAGTTTCGGGGTTGAGGGTTTGGGGTTTCGGGTTCGGTGCAAGTGTAGGGTTGATTCATGGTTCGGGATTTAGGTTGGGGATTTCTAAGGAGTCACCAGAAATCAGCATAGTCTTTTCCGTAGTGATGGAGAGCCGATCCACTCTTCAAGCACATGTGGTTTTTGCTAATGCTGTGTGGACCGTTTTGTGTGAGGGCAGTGCAGCTTCCGACACCAAGCCTCAAAGCTACTTCCAAACTAATCTCCGGTATATCAAGCCGCTTGCCATTGTTGTTGTCGTTGTCCCCTCACCTTAATGCTTGCCATGAGATTTGTATGATTGTATGATTTGTTGCGATTACCATTGCTAGCAGCACTATCCCCTAAACCCTAGACCCTAAACCGCCACCATCGGCACGATTAAAGTAGATATAATGACCGCTCCTCTGAGGACTTGAACCATAGAACCCCAGGCCCGAAAACCTAAACCCGAAACCCCTAAACCCCTAAACCCTAAACCCTAAACTCATCGTGATCTGTCTGACACCCCAAGAGGACTGGGCCATCAAGCCCGATTTGCCCATGGTGATCACGGTTGCCGGGGATGGGGAATACACGGCCCCGCTCGGGGCTCAGATCCCTGCATATCATAAATAGGGTGTATGCACTGCTAGGCCCTTCAACCTCCAACGCTGAATTTAGGCAGTAAGTTGTTGAGTTCCTGCATTTCCACCCTGTCCACTGGAGAATGAAAACCCCCAAGCAAAACAGTGCGGACCAACAGTTTGAGAGCACCTTTCCAGTAGTACCATAGGTACCACTTGGACTACGCAGATCCTTTCGTGCAGTCTGTGGGCCAGTATCTGGGACGCCGGATTTGGCACCAGGCCAGAAACTCAGCCACGGGGTATCGGGGGGCAAAAAGTATGTCAAATCATGTTGCAGGCCTCATTCTTCCATGGATGAGCCCCGAAGTCTGTAAGCCACATCAGAACTCGCCCAGGTCATAAGGCTCTCGGTTTAGGGTGTAGGGTTTAGAGTTTCGGGTTTCGAAACTTCAAGCCGGGACTGCAACCCAAACATGCTGACTCGGAGGTACTCCTGCCTTTTAACCTCCTGGCGCGGCTTCTGCCGCCAAATCCCACGGAAGAGGAGCTGGGGCTTGAGACTGGGAAGGATGCGGGTGTTTTGATCTTCGAGTGGCAGGTCATGGGTCTGTTCTGGAGATGTAGAGATAGATGGATGGATGGCTCGATAGATGGATGGGTGGATGGATGGAAAGATGGGTATAGGCAGGTCGGGGTAGGTAGGATGTGCATGTATCAAGTTATCTGTATATGTATATGTGTATGTTACGTATGTGTGCAAATAGCCAGTGGTGTGCATGTTCGCCTAGCTGGCTAGCTGGCTGGCTAGTTAGCTACCTAAGTTGCCTACCTTCTGCGTGGGTACGTACGCAGATAGACGGGCCGAGAGGTAGCTCACCTGCACACGGGCCGTGTGTATGACACGTGCTACAAGGAAGTGACGTAGCTGTGGTGGCACATATATCTGCCTAGCTCAGGAGGTGTTCATCGACCGATGCATTGCAGGACCTTAGACCCTTGTTCAGATCTATGCAGCGGGCGCCAGCCTGAGTTTGCTGCCAATATACTTCCTGTGACACAACGGACTTCGAAAACTGAAGCTGTTGGACTTTTTTGCCCACGGGATTCAATGGCCGGTCTGGCTGTGGTGTCGTTTCCGTGGATGCATCGTTTTTTGCTCAGGTGTCTTCTCGAGTTCTGCTGCAGACGGACATCGAGTGGCTGCCCAAGATGATGATCTTGAGATTCTCGCGGGATGTATGCGGTGCAGACATCGAGGTGCCATGCCGTCCTTTTTGAATCCTTGGTTCCAAAGACGAGCCACAAAGTCGGACGGAGGAGGCCTTGTGCGTCCCCGAAATGGTGGCGAAGCTTCCCTGCAACAGTTCGAAGGCCTGGCCCCGATGTGACGCCCGTGGGCCACCGCCTTAGAGTTCGGAGCTGGCGTGGTAGGTTTTCTTCATTGTCGAGCTGGTTCCAAGGCAGACAAAGTTCCTGGGACATCCATGTGGAAGCCGCGATGCAGATCGAGTCGAACCGTACCCTGCTGTGGAACGTTGCCGGCCGGCGGTGGGAAGGGACAGACAAACAGCCCCGGCATTGGCAGGTACAAGCATTTCGGGCTTGAACAACTCCGAGCTGAAGACACCCTCAGGGATCTTAACGCCAACACAGTCCGTGCCTCAGGGACAGCAGTTCCGCATTGTCCGAAGGCTTCCATGCGTATCGAGCCAGGCCGGTGGAGCACACCATGCGACGAAGACTAGCGCTGGTGCCCTGAAGTCATTTTGGCAGCTTTGCTGCTTGCTAGGCTTCAGTTGGGACCCTCGACCGTCGTGGAAGTGCTGCAGACACTCCCACATGGGCCCGAGAATGTGAACAGGTACTGACTCAGCGCACCCATCATCCGTCTGCATCGTCCAGCCTGCCACCCTGCGATCACAGTCGCTGGACCACCTTGCAACTCTCGCTGCAATCTCAACTGCCAGGATTGTCAGCCCCGCCAAGCACAGCCAAGCTTCGTGCTGCATGACTCTCAGCTATGCAGTTTTGAGGCCTGGCTGACAATGGGTCGCACACAGAACCTTGCCGAGGTCATGCCGGCCCCGTTGGCATGCTTGGTTCGTAGCTTAGCCTGCCAAGCTTCAGGGACAGCTCGGTGAATGCCAGAAGGCCTGCAGCCACGCTGGCTTCAGAGGGCAGTGTTCTTAGGGAGTTGGCACCCATGGTGGATAATCGAATGCCAAGGTCTCACCCACCGAGTGCCTGAACTTCGTCCAGCACTCTCCCGGCTTTTGCCCATCGCCGATGCCGGATGTGCCAGAGCTCCCGGAGCTGCCTCCGCCTAAGATCTCGATCTGCGTTCTGCCTAGGTAGCCCAGTGCTGGAGGATGAGATGATAAGATACAGTCCATGGGTTTACCCTCTGTGAAATCTTGACTTTAGCGTGGACATCATCGCTGCCAGCAGCTCCAATTACTCCCTGACACTCCGGCAAGGACTCTCTCTGGCTTGTAGGGGGTCTTCTTCGTGATTCCATGTTTCCTCAGTCCTGGTGTGCAAGACATCATATCCACGGTTCAGGGTTTGGGGTTTAGGGTTGAGGGTTCCTACCCCGAGAATCCCTGCGTTCGTGACCGAGGATGGAGCTGGAACGAAGCGGCTCTTCCACATACCAAGACTTCGACAGCATGCTGAGGCCGAGCTGCATTCCAGGACCCTGCCACCAGTGGTCTTGAGTGGAGTTTCCTTTCAGCATTCCCCGGATGGCCCCGGGGTGAACGCTCGCGAACGCGAGCAGCCCTCACACCTGAAAAACAGAAACCCTGCTCATTCGGGAAAAATGTCTGCAACGATTATATATAATTTACATGCGCGTGTATGTATGTATGTATGTATGTATGTATGTATGTATGCATATGTGTATATATATATATACATCCATATATATATATGTGCATTATAATATATGTGCATATATAGAATTACATAAACATACACGGAGTACGATATATGCTGTGGGTACATATGTACACACACACAACTCCTGAACCACGCGGTCTGAACACAACAGCTCGTGCAGCCTTTGTCTGAGCAGACGCAGGCAGCGCAGCGCCGGCCGCGGCGGCCGTTGCCTCAGGTTGCAGGGGAGGGTTCAGGACAGGATCTAGGATTTAGGGTTTGGGGTTTAGGGTTTGGGATTTAGGGTTTGGGATTTAGGATTTAGGGTTTAATTAGGGTTCAGAGTCCATATAGCCTTTCAGGGTCTTGCTGTGGTGTCATTTCCGCATGATGGTTCTACGACAGCATTGCAGAAGTAATAATCTTAGAAGTATTGTAGTACGACTACCGCACAAACATAGCCTTTTGAGTGGAGAATTGGAGAAGGAAGCCAAAAGCACGGCAACCAGGCCGTAAACCGAAACCCTGAAGTCCCAAACCCCTTAAAGCCCTAAGACCTAGGCCTTAAGGCCCTAGACCCTAACACTACACCCCAAACCCCCGACGTCTCAGAGGCCCGGCCCTGACCGTGGCCTTCCGAGACTGCGGCTGGAGTGGAGAAAGCGAGCCCCTCTCGCCGGCTCCTCGGAAGTTTCTTTTAAGGATCGTACTATAATGAGACGATAAGAACTACTCCTAGACCCAGACCATAATGCTGCTATACCAATGCTATAGTACTGTACCCATACCGGTGTGATACTGCATTTTTTTTTAAAAAAATTCACCAAAAGTACTAGTAACTAGTATAATACTACAAGTTTCAGCCGGGAACCCTCGGCTTTCTGCCGAGCCCGAGGCCACAGACGACCGAGGGTGCTTTGGCAGACAGCCACGGCCTCATCATACAGGGTTTAGGGTTTTGGGGGGTTGGCTAGAGCTCCGGGTTCAAAAAAGCTTGTAGGATTATTGGATGATTCGCATTAGAGTGTTTCTAGAGGGGCTGATTCCGTTCTCACCGTGTTGTGTTTAATTGAATAAAGCACGCACTGGTTTCGTTTGTCTTTCTTCATTTAATTCACCACACGGTGTTCTCTTCATTCATCCTTTACACCTATACACCTAGATTACAGAAGGAAAAGGGTGGTGCATTTTGTTTAATTGAAAAGAACCGCACTTCGTTCACCACTGCCATTGCGTTCTTTTCAATGAAACAAAGCACCACGGAACCCTTGTAAGATTTGACCTATATTAAGGTTACACGACCTACAAGAAATTAAGTAACAGGAATTCCAAGAAACCGTGCGTTGCGTTCTGTTCCCTCTCTTCGTTCACTCACATTCACTTATCATTATTATTATTTGATCACTGGTGGTAGAGGAACAGAAGCTTGTTGGAGTCGCATTAGAGCATCGTCAGAGCTTTCAGTCAAAGTATCAGTCTAGTATAGTGCGAATTTCAAAAAGATGCCTAGGGACTTAGGGCCACACACGTCTGTAACTGGCCTGGTTTTGCGGTTTGGAGGCTTTCGCTGTGGATTCTAGGCGCTGCCAGGATCGGACTTTATTGAACTTTATTTGGGGAGGGGCTGGGGAGTGGTGGTGGGGGGAAGGCTGATTTCGTTCTGGCACCGCCAACTTTGTCTGAAAAAGTGGCTTTGAAGCCACGCCTGCCAGCAAAAGTCAAGACAGTGCTCGGGTTTGGGGATGCCAGGATTATAAGGAAGAAAACAAGTTGAGCTTTGAACCCATGCTGCCAGCAAAAGTCAAGACAGCGCAGACCTGCCTCTGAGAATCACATTCAGGAGCTGTGTAGAGAAACCGTGCGACGCCCTAAGTTCCAAGGCTACATGGCCTCTGAAAGTCATTTTCACAAGCATATCTGCACTTTCTTGACTTTTGCTGGCAGGCGTGGGTTAAGAGCCTATTCCACGTAAACCTGGCTACCGAAAATCCTGCGGTCACTTATGTACGTGTGACCGCTTCGGGAATTTCAGGGTTTCAGCATGTTTTTATGCAAATGCGTCTCGACGTAGAGGCAAAGCGGGGGCTCTATGCCAATAAGACGATCTTTACGTACACCCCTAAAGTGCTTTACCCCTAAGCACCTAAACCCCTAATCCTTGAAGCCCCGTGCCCTGCAAACCCCTACAGCTGCCCTTACGCAAACCATTGCACCCTAAACTAAGGAGCTGACTTATGTCCCACGCGAAAATGCCAGCTGGCCTCTTTTAAAGCCCCCCCCACACACATATGGAGTCCCTTGCAGTTGATATATATATATATATATCTATATATATATATGTATATCTATCTATCTATCTATATATATATATATATATGGAGATATAGATATATAACTAACACCTTTCCTTTTCGAACCGACCCTCTGAATCCTACATCGCTCGGAGGTGGCGCGGAGGAGCCGCCGAGGAGGCGAAGGGCCAAAAGCCGCTGCCGCTGCTGCCAGCGGCTGCTGCCCTTGTGCCTCAGCTATCCTAGTAGTCCTAGCCGTCGTCGTCGTCTTCCTCGTCGTCGTAGCAGTGCCAGTAGCAGTAGTGCAGTAGGAGGAGGGAGTAGGTAGTGGCAGCAGTAGTAATTATCGTAGTAGTAGTGATAGGCCTACTACTAAGACTACGACTACTACTACCACCAGCAACCCCCTTGCTATCAACGACGTGGCGCCCAAAACCCATCATCATCGTCGTTGGTATTGGGCTACAACATCGCGAAAGTAATGTCAATACCGAGTGAAATGGATGTGTTCTTAAAAAGTACGCCCCACTACCGCTACCGCTACCGCTGCCGCTACCGCTACAGCTACCGCTCCCGCTTCCGCTACCGCTACCGCTACCGCTTCTGCTTCTTCTGCTGCTACTACGACTACTCCTACTATTACCTCTTCCGGATGCCCTTCTTGTCAAAGGGCCCCTGCAGGTTTGCAGAGGTTGGTGGCGCCTTCTGCGTGAGCTTCGTGCAGAACGTCGAGGCATGGCTCTTGAAGTGGAGGGGCTTCGTGTCCCAAGGCCAAGGCGAGATTTTGATACAATAGAGTTCAAGGCAGGTATCAGAATGTTGGCATGTCAGAATGTCCACTACTCAAACAACAAGAGCAACGACAGCTGGACAACAATTCCAGCGACGACGGTGATGACGATGCTGTTGATGGTGACAGTCGTCGTCACCATGTAACACACACACACACACACCTCGTTTCGCAGCCATCCCGCTCACCATGATGTCTTCAGACATCCTCCATATCATCGCCCCTCCTCCTCCTCCTCCTTCTGCTACTCCTCGTCCTCGTCTGCCTCCTCACCTCAACCTCAAGCTCCTGCTTTTCCCACAATCATCATCATCATCAACATCATCGTCATCACCATCCTGCTCCTCCTCCGCCGTCGTCATCGCTGTCGTCCTCATTTGCATCACACGAAAGCATGGCAGCTCACTCAGTCGGGGAATCGCAGAGGCAGCCCTTTACTTCGTGGCTGCTCCTGGTAACCATGTCTACAACTGGAGCCGACCTTAGCGATTCTGGCCGGACCTTGGGGATGCGTAGTTGCGCTGCTACCACTAGCCATGGTGTGAAGCTTGGCTGGCCAAGGGCCAGACAGAAGCGCAGTGTCACAGGTACTTGCGGAAGCTGAAGGCTTTCAATGCCATCGGTGGTGTTGGGCGTCAGACCAGCTCTCAGATTTTTCAGGCTGGGCAGGCCCTTGTCAATTCAGGACAGCTGTCACTGCTCTCTTGGCTAAGGCCAGGCTTATACCTGAGACATCGCAAGCCGCGGGGCTCGCAGGTGGCTTGCAAAGCTGTTTCATGCTGTTGATGCTGCGCTGTTGCCTTTTCTCGTCCAGCTCCGCAGTCGCACGCAGCCATGCCTTGAGAGGAGTACACGCTCCTGATGCTGATGTTGACTCTGGCGATCGCGACATTGGGCTTTATCGCGCAGTCTGCGATTCTGTTCAGGCCAAGAGCGGGCGGGTTCTACGGCTTCTTTTCTAGAGTCGCAGCAGGTCGTTGTGAGCCGATCGAAAAGACATCAGCGTCATTAGCGCTCCTCAGTGCGTGAGTACGAGTTTACCAAGAGCTGCAAGCGAAGGCTTCAGCCACGGCATTCGGCCTTCTTCGCGGTCCGGGGGCCCAGGGCTTTCAACCTTTTTCCAGGCTGTGGGGGACCCTGACCCCTAAATTCTAAACCCCTAAACCTTACGAATGCATGCTGAAGGTTCCCCTTGAATTGAACTGATTGGTGAGCGCATCCGATAGCATATCATACTCTAGTATATCATAATTATTCTTCATATTCTGTTATGTTATATTTTAGGAGGTTATCGTACATAATAACATTGTTTATATTCTGTTACATGAGAGGATGTACATAGTCTATTATATGATAAATCTTTGCGCTCAAGCGCTCGGGGATCTGGCGAGTCAGGTTGCTTTTCTTTATTGTCTGCAGCTCGGATTGCAAGTTGTTGTGGGAAAAGGCTCAGAACTGCATGGGCCATGCATTTACGGCTCGTGCTCTGGGATGGATGCAATGAAAACAGGGATTTCCGTCTATGAGGCCTTAGTGCAGTTCTCAAGTCGCCGGCGCTCATCGACACTTTTATGGCACACAACATGTGTAGGCAGACAGACACACATGCACGTGCACACAAACAATGACTAATGCGAGCAAACTTATCTGATTTCCCGTTCATGGCTCTGCGTGCAACCTTACGAGGCACTTCTACTGCCGCCTTTTGCTGACCTCCTCGCGCTGGTCAATACCATACTCTTTCTCTGTGGTGCTGCGGACCGGGAGGGGGGGGGCTCAGGGTTTAGGGTTTAGGGTCCCTGAACCCTAAACCCGATTCTTGAATCCAACACCCAAGAGGCTCGCAACATGCAGCCTCGAGGTTCGGGGTAGGTCGCGCTTCGGTCTGCTTGTCGGGGCTTGGCTCGGCTACTCCTATCCTCGTTGCTCATCGACGCCCTCTGAGGCTTTAAAGGTCGGTTAGTATTACAAAAGTTGTTCTGCACTATGAGTTATTTCATTGGTTGCCTGGTTTCTGGGAGAGCGCCCATAAACCCAAGGCCCAGGCTCAAACGCCCAAACCCCATTATCAATCCATAAAAGCCATAACAGGCCTCCGAAGGGACAGAGTAACCCTTATGGTACCCCGTACAGCAACCTTTGTGGTAACCCTTATAGTAATCCTTATCATGGTTACACTCATAGTTACCCTTTATAGTAGTCGCTATGGTGATTCTCACGGCCCGAGTCCGACACCAGAGGACGGCACCACATGCTGCCTCTTCGTGGTCGCATCAAATTGGAACTCGGCCATCGGCGTTTCGGCGTCCGGTATCAGGGGAGCTTAGGGCTTCGAGTTGAAGGTTCGGGTTTTGGGAGGTTTCGGGTATTTGTTCGCATGCCAGGCAGCTTGTTGATGCGAGTATCGACCACCATAGGATCCTCGGGGTGTTATCCCTCCCTAAGCTCTAAACCCTAAACCCTAGTATTCCTTCAAGAGCTCAAGACCTACCCAGGCCTGCTTTACAGGGTCATGGCCATGGACACCTGGCGTTCTTCCGGGCTCCTCCATGCCGGAACCCCAGGGAGGGCTGTTGGGTTCGTTTCTGGGGTTGGGGTGTTCTGGGTTCAATTTTTAGCCTCCTCGCGCTTCGGGATCGAGGAGTACTATGCTGCAGGTGAAAAGCTGCAGAGGTGTACTCGAAGTCAGGTGCTGGTCGAGTACTTGATTGTCTTCTCCGTCAAGGTGTCCATGTGCCGACTGGCCGGGCCCTGAGAAGCGCGGGAGTTCCATTGGTGTTGACTTGCCGATCTTCTGGGCACACCTGGGTGTGCAGGCTTCCGAGCTAGACGCTGCTGCAGAGGGCTAACGGTTAGAGGCTGTAGACAACTCCAATGAGATGGTCTTGCGGCTGGCACGGTGGTGACACCGGTCACGTGCACCCTGTCAGCACCACGGACTGTGGCTAGGGGCGCATGTTCCGCTGCAGGTGAACATGACCATCGCGTACTACGAGGCCAGGACCTCTGCCCAAAACGGCAACATGCAGCCTAAACATGTCTGAACGGTAATGTAGAGACACACGACCCATACAGACATGCCTGACATCAGAGTTTTGGCCGACTGGGTGCAATTTGTAAGAAGGACGACTCCTCAAATATCGACATCATTGCATAGATCGGAACCACAGCATCTGATAGCGTCCGAAGTTCAGGATACCTTGTTGCAGCAGGAATTCACTTGTGCCGCGGTTCCAAGACCAGAGCGTCCTTGTCTCGTGCATCCTTGAGTCATTGCTTCATCCGGACATGTCAACGTGAACAAATCATCAGCTTCACTGGAAAGAGGAGTCTGGTTCAGAGGTCACTTGTCTCTAGGGACCTGCCGAACTTATTTTCATGTTCGAATGACCTCCCAATTTCCGTGTCCATCCTCGGGGCCTAAGCGGAATAAATCCCGCTACGCCGGCGGCTGCTGCTGCTGCTGCTGCTGCTGCTGCGGCTGCTGCCACAGCTGGTACAGCTACCACTAAAACGATGCGACGAGTAGCCCGGTTCGTCAGTTGCCGTTCGCGTGTCTGTGATCGTGTTCGCTGCCTTCGATGTAGCAAGTGCCGCTGTGATCGTTATTTATTGTTTTCGTGCGACTGCCATTACCACCACAAGGCTCACAATGTCTAGCTCTTGTTGTCACACACACACAGATATATATATATATATATGTGTCTATGTTGTATTCAACCACGCTGGTTGCTACTGTGTGTGAGAGCTGTCGTCATCATCCTCATCATGCTCATCATCATCGTCGTCATCACTCTCATCACCATCATCATCATCATCCTCATCATCCTCATCATGCTCATCATCATCGTCGTCATCACTCTCATCATCATTATCATCATCGTCATCATCCTTAGCATTGTCATCCTGATCGTCATCACCATCATCATCATCATCGTCGTCCTCGTCGTCAACATCCTCATCCTGGGCGTCATCACCATCATCAACAACCCTCAAAAGCGTTTCAACCTCCAAATCCCTACCTCCGGGTCGAAAAACAGGCCCTACACGCACTAAGCTCCTCATTCCTGCCTCAGTCGAGGCCGAACCGGCCTTGCTGGAACCAGGTGGGAGTCTTCAGACGCGGGATCCGGGTCCAGTCGGGCCCAGGATTTAGAGTTGGGTATACGGCATTTAGGGAGTGACATGTATGTGAAGGTGGGGGGAGTAGGGATTGAGGGACACATTGCTGGCCTGCCAAAACTGGCCCGATGCAAATTGACCGATATAGTGGAGTCTTGAATATCGCAAACTCCCAGGTGGGGATGACGCTGACCACGAGTGGGCCCGGGGCAGAGCTCTGCCGAATCGCAGACATCTTGTCATTACTTACTTACACGGTGTGTTTCCAAGCTTCTGTCTTCCTCGGCATCATGTTAGTTTTGGAGCATGTCTCATCTGGTAGACACCTGGGTGTTTCCTCAGGTGGCGATTTGTGTGCGTAAAAATACAGATCCATGAAGAGAAACACCTCAGAAGCTGATGAGACACGCACGCAAGTAAATGGGGAAATACTGAGGGTGATATCCATACAGATACGTATTGTGTATATATATGTATATACATATATACATACACATACACATACACAGAGAGGCAATCAGCAAGTGACTGACCAGCTACCGCATACAAAGCTCGAAGGTATGCTGTGGATGTGACAAAATATATCACCCAGCCAGATGGATGCACTCATGGTTGACATCCCACCAATCCTGTCCTTCTTGCAGTACCTGCGCTTCCTTTCTAAACCCAAGAACCCCGTGCCCTAAACCGTTTGACACCCCGAGCCTTACGCCCCAAACCTTAAAGCCTTCAATCCAAAAGCCCAAAAGCTCAATAGCTGTAAGGCCCGGAGCCCAACACCCTCAAGCCTACTGTAGACCCTAAGCAAAACCTGCTGGTCGTGCATCCAGGTCAAAGAGCATGTTCTCTTTCGCCCAGCAGTGAGAAGCATGCGGGAGCGAGTTCGGGAGCCCAGATGACTCGCCTTTTGGCAAAGGTCATCGCTTGTACAGTCGTATTGTTCGTAGTGTTGGTATTGGTTGCATTGCTTTGAATTCCGGTCCTTCTCGTAGTGTTTGAGACAGTTGTGATTCCGTGGTCGTTCCAGTGAGTTTTTGCAAAAGTCTAACCATGCAGTGCCGTGTCATTCGTTTTCTTTTGGCAATGTCTGCTTCATTGCCGCGCGTATCTTGTTCGATCTCCGCGTCCTCTGTCTACCTGATCAAAGGCTTACTGCAATCCGTACTCAAGCATCTAACAGTCTCCGAGCAACTGTGCCCCGGGCGATCAACGAAGCTGCCAAACACGACAAAGGCACGCACGCTGACCTCGCGACCGCCACCGCTGGAGGTGACACGTGAAATGCCCCAGACCATTGGTCATGGATATTCCCTGAACCTCGCAATACATGGTACACAAGATCTCACAAATACTGTCTCATACATACTCACCGAAATTATATAGATCCCGAACCTTAAACCTTGCCATCCGCGATGCCCACTGCCGGTCCCTTGCCAGGAAGGTTACGCAGAGCAGAACTCCAGGAGTTGGCTCATGAAGGGCCTGGACTCTACTCGGAGCGTCGGGAGCTCAGCGTCTTGAGGTGGGGTTTAGGGTTTAGGGTTTAGGGCTTTAGAGGTACTGTACTCCCGATGTCAGAGAGCTCATGTCATGAATGCAGGAGAAACAACAGGGAGCACAAGATGACACCACATGTATAGTTTCTCGCTATATTTTTAAAAGTGTGTGTGTGTGTGTATATATATATATGTATTATGAGGCTGTAGTGCACGGTAGCAGACGGTAGCCACAATTACTCGTCAGCACAGTGCAAAATGACAATGTTGTAAGTAAGCCAGCCGAATTTTCATGCTGCAAGACCAACAGTGATGTTTCAGTCAGTGATGAACCCTACCGCACGGCCCATCAGCAATCTACCACACATGCAAGGTAATATGATACAAGGCAGTGTTGTTCATAACCATAACCTCGAAACATTCGAACGCAGTGACATACAGCATGGCCGACCAAGCAAAGCTAGCACAAGACAACCTGCTTAGATGACACCATCATGTTCTCTATCATGGTAACTTGTGACATCTTGTGACCCAATGAAGTGCGTGGGGTGATACTTCGACTGGCAATAGAAGTGCGGGCTTTCCTTTGGACGACCGATGCTTTCAAGCGGTCTGGACTTCAAATCTCAAGTTCTAATCTCATCCGTCTGAGGAGCACAGGCCGCTAGCGGCCCTCATCTCCGATATTTCGGAGCAAAAGGAGCGGGAGCAGGCAGTTTCCGGGTTTGTGAGCGTAGCCGTCCGAGGGCCTTAGCGAAGTTACTTTACGCTAACTGGCGATCCACCATCGTTTTGTGTGTCAAAACCTCATGCTCCCAGAATGCCCGCCGCAGTAGAAGCCGTACAAAACTCCGTGCAGAGCACCAAATCCTTGTAGAGAGCCAGCAGCAAAAGAAACAGCAACCTGTCGCCATGCCCTGTGGTATGTCACAGATATCTTTAGCTCAGGATAGGGATGGATGGTGCATGCGGCGCTGTCACGCTTATGAGGACATAGCCATGTCGAGTGTAAGGGTTTGGGGGCTTCGAAAGAACTAAGGCACAGGTCCCTACAATCTGAAGGCAATTATCAGGTTGGCTACCAGGGTTGTCATAGCTCCTCTTCAATCGTTGGGGCTTCCATCAAATGGACAGCTGCCACCGCGTGCCCGGAGTCAGTCGCAGAGTTCCAGTGTGTGTGTGTGTATAGATTATAGATACACACACACACACAGAGCCGCACGAGGTGATACTCGGATAGGTCGATCGATGCACAGGCAGATGAAGACTGGATGGATAGCGGACGGACGGAGAGATGGATAGGTACAGAGATGGATGGCAACCGTTTTTGTGACCCCTAATAGAAGTACGGCCTGGTCAGCTCTGGGTCACTCAGCTTGACGGCCTTGCAGGGGGGGCAGCCCAGCCCCACCAACAAGAGATCTCCGCGGTTGGGCGAGCAAGCGATGCTTTGACAAATCAGTTGCTCTAAGAGCCTTTTGGAAGTTCAGACTGAGTTTAGTCTTCTCAGCATGTGATGCATGTTTATCTCATGGCCTTGCAAGAACCTTGCAAATTGTGGTGTCCCTTGTAAGGTCTGTGTAGATCACTATCGAAAGGCGCCTTTAACTCCAACCCCGAACCCCAGACCTCAACCTAAACCACCACGCTGACACGAAAGCTCAGAACATGCAAGTGTGCCAAGGATGGTGTCCGGCGACAGTGTCTGGCATACAATTTCAGCTGTTAGACCCACTCGTACGGTTTAGGATCAGGATTCAGGATTTAAGGTTTGGGGTTTGTAGGTCGGGATTTAAGGTTTAGTGTTTAGGATTTGTAGTTCAGGGTTTTGGGGTTGATTTGCATCCCAAACCCCCTCTACCCCAAGACCTCTACACCCTCCTGCACTGCGCACTGCCGAGTCACAGAGGCGTCTCGGACGGATGGACCCCGCTTCTCAAGCAAGTGAGCAGCAGTAAGCCATCTTTTCATTTCGATCGTACAGAGTCACCAGAGCGGACGTGAAGTCCGGAACTGCAAATACATAGACGTTAAGAGGGTGCTTTTGCAGGATTTGAGCATCGACGCCAGTTCTGGCATGAAGTGTACTTTGGAAGTTGCGTTTGGATGACTAGCATGCGTTCCTGCAAGAGTGCCTCTATGGCCTAGGTCGCAACACTGCCTCCGTTTGGGGCATAAGTTCCTGCGTTTGATGCGGGACATGCAGGTTTAGGATTTAGGATTTCTCGCATGCGCCCTCGGGCGATACAGGCGATCTGCGGATCTGCAAGCAGGAAGTGCTGCCTTGGGGATGCAGTGAGAGTGCAGGGAAAGTTCTTTGGGGCCTGGTGCATCCTGAAACGACGCTTTGCCCCAACAAGCCCGCACATGGAATCACACCCCTCCATGGCTTTGGCTCAAGTGTGTTGCTTAGGATAATGTTCTTGGGGAGCAGAATTGAGGCGCATGTGTCCATTGGATGGGTGATGTGAGTGGAGACCAGGCGCCTGGCAGAGCAGGGGCCCAGAGCTTGAGAGACGGGGATGGGCTTGGGGGAAGGGTTCCCTTACTACGTAAGAACCTAAGAATCGTAGGCTGCTTCGCTGCTTCGTCAGGGCACAAGCCTTTCGAACCCAGCGGTGCGTCTGTGCAGGAGTTGGCATTTCTGCAGGCGCGGGCCTGAAGGGGGCTTGGGGGGCCGGAGTTGCATCCAGGTCCTCCGCAACTGAATCGTTGCACTTTCTGTCGCCATCAGCAGCCCCTCCAAGGTTTGATCGCAGTTGCCAAGATGGACCTCCTCAAAGCTGCGCTGGTGGCTGAGAATCTGTGTGATGGTGATGCTGTTGATGTTGACGACGATGAAACCATCGAGTGAGCATTGGATTGTCAGTTCCTTTGGCAGGTAGAACACAGCTATCTGTCAAGAGTCGCTCTTTTCCAGGGGGTTCGAAAGTCTGCTCGAGACCCCGAGGCCTTTAAACCTAGGCCGAGGACCCAGGACGTTGACAGCCCCCCTGGCTCTAAAGCCCTGAAACCGCAATCAAACCCGAAGACCTTTCGATTCAGCCCCTGAAGCCTTGAATGTGATTTGGCCCTTTACGGAACCGCTTAAAATCCGAACTAACCTCATGCCCAAGTCCATCCCACCCCAAGCCCCAAACCCTACACCCTAAACCCTAAAAGGTTTTACCCGCCACCCCGCACGGATGTGGAGGGCTCAAGGCTTGGCCGCGCTTCGACCTTGCTGAAATCTGAGCTTTGCCTTGCTTTTCGAGGTCTAACGTTTGGGGCTTAGGGGCTTAGAGGCCGCAGGCGTTCGAGGTTGAGTCAGTGAGGCTTTTTGAAGGATTTCGGGCTTGAGAGGTGCTGGGTTCTTGGGGGAATCGGGCCTTCAGACCAGAAAGACTGATCAGTCCTCTCGCGAGGAAAGGCACCAGTTGGGTTTCTGCAGTTGGGGCCTATATACAGGGTTTCGCAATTTTCATGATGGGTTCGAAGGGGTTTGTGACACTGCATCGGGGGGGCATCCCCTTTCGGCTCAGAACCGCAGCTGTAAAGCCCAAGAAGTCGGGCTGCTTGCTGCGATGACCCGTTCCGGTGGGAAGGCCTGGAAAACCGATCGGAAGCCGCTTGCTGAGTCTGAACAGTGGTGCAGTGTCCTGCGTCCGTGACACGAGCTGAACTTGCCTGGTCAAGCGGTGCATGTATCTATTCGTACACTGTGTATACATTACATAAACAAACAAATAGGTAAGTAAGTAAATAAGTGTATATATATATATATGGGCATATATATATATACACA